GGAGCCCTCATCTGTGAAGACACCAGTTACATTGAATTGGGGCCCACACAGGTCACCTCCCTTGAATGGAGTGAAGAGCAGAATGCCTGCCTGTAAACAGTGTCAGCTTCTGGGAGGAGAGGGAGAGAGGGAGAGAGGGAGGAGTGGGGAGGGAGGGAGGGAGAGAGGGAGGAGTGGGGAGGGAGGGAGGGAGGAGTGGGAGGGAGTTTTGAGAGAGTTTGAGGCAGCATCTCCTGTAGCCCTCCAGTCTTTATGTACTGGAGGGTAACCTTGAACTCCTTATCCTCCTGGCTCTACCTCTGAGGTGCTGAGATGGCAGGAATGTGCTACCACTGGGCTGAAATGGTCAAGTCTTTATTCTTGTAGAGCATTTGGTTATAGCACAGGCAGATGCCATTTCTAGAACAAGAGCACAGCCCCATTTGCCCGAGATTAAGTAGCTTTGGAAATCACTCCCTCCCTCCGGAGGACACTGAGCTGTGCGGACAGTCTTCCAAGCAGAGGTGGTTCTTTGACATACTCTCCTTTCTCACTCCAAGAGTGGAGATCTGGGAGCTGGGACTTCTGGTTCAGCGGTCCAGGATTTGCCTATGTATGAAGGCTATGACAATGAAGACCTGGAATCCCAACACTTGGGAGGTGGAAGCAGGAGGATCAAAATTCAAAGTTATCTTCTGCTACATAGCAAGTTGAAAAGCAGCATTGGCTCCAGCAGACCCTGTTTAAAAATGAAAACTTAAAAAAATACGAATGAAAGGAAAATCATCCGTGTGTTGCACTCACCAGTGTTGGGAAGTAAGCACTCCAGAAGTCTGTGAGAAACAGATGGAAAACAGCTGCCCACACAAACTCGCTGTTATGGCAGTCTTCACCAAGAAGCCAAGCTTACAGATGGGAAAAATTGCCCTTGACCATGAATATTTAGTGGTTCTGAATTTTCTTTATTGTTGTTATGTTTTCACTCATTCCTTTAAACAAGCAACAATGTTGGGTTGTTTTGTGGATCCTATGTGAACTCCACAGGCTAAATAAAAACTTAGATTTTCTTAGATTCTTTTGAAAAGATATTCAACAAATCACTGTTATTAACTTACCCATATGAAAGTCATCCTTAGTCATTCACAATAGGCCATGCAAAAAAAAAAACCCTGTAAAATAATAGAAAATGGATTATTTTCCTCTTGATAGTTATACAATGTAGTTTGCTTATTATTTTGACAACCACAACTTCTTTCCCATCGGCTAAGTTCCCTGGTGAATCTGCAGAAAGGACAGTCATGATATTTTTGCATTTACAGGAATAATTGTCAAGTATTTTCCAACAAATCTCTCTTAAAAAAATCAGGACACTCCTAGGCTGGTGTTAACTCTTTCTCATGCTAAGCAGTTCCCTCTGGTGTAACTGAACAAAAGCTTTGATGTCAAGTAAATATGTCAGCAGCTAACACTGAAGTAGCTTCTTTGCTTTGAACCAATACAGATTTCTAATTAATGGTTTAATTACTTCTAATACTATCCATTACAATATTAAAGCCCAAACTCCAAAGATAATACACTTGCAAGGTTCATTACCTTGGCTCTTCTTTATTTTGAAAACAAAATTATTTATCACAATCTTTCTTCCAGAAGACTTTTTGGGATTTTATTTTTTTATTTCTTTCAGTTTTCTCCTGTTAAGGAGAGCCCTGCAAAAGCTGACATATTTTAATAAGTTATGAAGATACGCCGCCGCCGCCCCAATCAATCACAAAATAGCAGAGTTTGTTTTTCCAAGTTTTTAATATACTAAAATAACTAATAATTTTGGAACTCAAGGCTTTTGGATGATATTTTAAGCATCACAAAACAGTGATGAGGAAGGTCCTAATTTTAGCTCTAGTTTACAGACGAGAGGAGAGAATTGAGATTTAGAAATATTAAGAGCTATGGACAAACTGAAACATCTAGTAAGAAGGAGGGTCTAACATGAATTCCTACTTCCATAATTTATATCACTAATGAATGTGTCCTTTGTTCAACACTTTGCGTCCTATTTGTGAGAATTTTAAGGGTGAAGGGCCTTTCATCTGAAGACTCCTTTACCTTCCTATGGCCGACCTGCCCTCATGTTATATAGAAAAGTTTTCTGTAATTGTAGAAATAATTTCCTGTTTTTACACTGAAATGAGACTCAGATGAATCCTCAAGCAATGGCCTGTGGTAGGCAGAGCCCTGTGAATTCTATGTTAGCCTGGTGTATGTAGTGAATTACAAGCCAGCCAAGGCTGTATAGCAAGACCCTGTCTCAAAGAACCAGCCAACAAAATAAAACAACAACAACAACAGTATCAACACCACCAACAAAACCCAAAAATAAAAAAGGAGAGAAAAAGAAAGAAAGAAAGAGAAAGAAAGGGTCCCTAGGATGATCTGTGTCTTGCATTCAGGAGAAGGGATTACATTCCCTTATCAGCCAACAGGAACATCGAATGGCAGGGAGATCAGTATGTCTGTCTATTTACAGGTACATTTGCCTCCACAGCAACCTGGGAGCCTTTCGTTTCTCCCAGCCTCTACATCTTCTGTGGGGCCTAATAGCCACATGTATTTGATTTTTAAAAATAAGGTAAATATCCCCGTGGCAGTCATTAAGTAGCATTCCTAATCAGTCATTTCCAACTCCCTTAATTGGCCCCAGGGGAATTTAAATTGGCATGCCTTATTTTCTCAGGACAACACCAAGCATGCTTTCCTGATGCTTCATTTGAACCAGAAGTGAGTTCTAATAGCCAAAAGATGTCTGATAACAGTTTAAACCACTGAGAACTCAATTATGGGATTAGGAATTAGATTTAAAGGAAGCCAAAGGGGGAAATATAAAGTATTTCAGCATAAAAGAAGTTATGGGTTTCTCCCCATCCATCCCCCCCAGAAATACCTTTTAAATGATTTTCCAAAATCAGTTCAAGAAAATTTGATGTGTACTGTAATACCACTTTTATTACCCGATTGTCTATATTTCTGAGAAAATGTGTTAAGTTTATTTCTTGGTAACGAAGCTCTCCTAAGGAAAATACTTCAATAATCATACAAAAAAAATTGCCAAGAGAAAATATACACGGGAAATTCTTTTCAAAGTATCTCACTGAGCCTAAGAAGCTCCACACTTGACCATGAGGTTATCAAGATATTTTCTGAAGAGTCACTTGATTAAATTCAGGATTTGGGGGGCAGGAGAGAAGAAACTTAAAATCAGCAAGGGAAATGATTTGAACCCAAGGGAGACTCCTTTTGGAGATGGGTCCCTAAAGGGTGAGCTGGTAGAGAGTTCCTCGTATCCCGTGTCTGGAAAGGCAGCAAGTGACAAGCGTTTGTGCTTCGTTGTTCTGGGACAACTCAGAGGATCACATTGTTCCTTGAAATTCCATTCCCTGCTCTTCATTATATCATGTGAGCATCAGACACCGAGCCCAGGGCCGATGAGTATCTTCCTCATCGCTGCCCATTGAGCAATCTGAAAATACACAAACACATGGAAGAACTCATCAAGCTCTCTTCAGGCTGTGTGAATCTCACTAAAAATGAATTTAATGTAATATCAAAGTCAAAACAGGAGTCCAGGTTTGGTGGTGTGGCTCTGTGGAAGGGCACTTCCCCAGCACCACCAGGGCCCTGCTTCTTCTAGCCCCATCACCGCCAAAGAAGTGATAAAGTAAAATAAAGCAGAGGAGGTCCAGGCTCCAGGGCCAGGAAAAGCCATCTTCTTAGGGACATTCAGTGTCTAAAGCACACCTGACCCTTACCTTTGTTTGCGCTGTAAGACTCCTAATTTGGAATAGATTTGAGAATCAACTCGAAAACCTTCAAATTATACATAACCTGAGTTATCATTAAACAGAAATTTAGGGAACACAGTTCCTAACAGAAAGCTCTGAGCCTTGTCTAGAAATCTGGTCATTTGTAATTTCTCTGTTGGAAATTTATCTGATTTCGTAGTTTTTTTTCTTTCTTTCTTTTTTTTTTTTTTTTTTTTTTTTTTTTTTTTTTTTTGAGACAAAGGCTCCCTATGTAGCTTTATATGGTCTGGAAGGAACATAATAAATCCAAACTCGCCTTGATTCCCTTTCCCAGTGTGTGGGATTAGAGGTGTGCATTGCCACACCAGAGAATGGAATACTTTGTTGTTCTTTCCGTTTTGATGGTGTTTCTTTGTTTTTGTTTTTGAGACTAGGTCTCATGTAATCCAGACTGTCATCAAACCAGCTATGGAGCGGCTGGCCTTATACTCTTGATTTTCTTGCCTCACTGCCTAAGTCCTAAGGTTAGAGGGTTGAACCACCGCTCCCAGCAAGAGTCATTTTATAAACAAACAACAACAAAATGCCTGCCTGCCCTTTTTTCTTCAGCAGGAGCGTGTGAGCTGGTTTCGAGGGCATGGGGTTTTCTTGGAAAGGCTGTAAGGAGTTGGTCAGGGAAGACCAAGAGACAAACGGAAGGGTAAGCAATAAAGTTTGCCCCTGCTCCTGACTAGAACTGACTGGCTCAAGGAAACAGTCCCCTGCTCGGTGACACAGAGCTGCGTGGTCTAGTTACACAATAGGTCAATGAGGCTTTGGACACGTGTCTAGAAGGTAACCCCATCTAGCATTGCACCATCGTGAACAGGCTTTTAGTTTTCAGATACCAGAAGTCCAAAAAAATGAGCCTAGCATATTAACTATTATTACTGATAGATGATTTTAAAACATAAATTAACCTAAAGCTAAGTAAGTTATCAATGTATTTAATTCATAAAAATTTTGCAGTCCCTACATCCTCCTATACAACTTCAGTATGCACTCCATCTCAAACCCTTTTTTCACTCATCTCTGAAGTGGTATTTGGGTACCAAGTTGTGGGGCATCTCTGCTAGTGAAAGCAGTATAAAGCAGGAAGATACGCATCTGGAGTTTCTGGCACATTAAAAGATGAAATGAAATGGCCTTAGCTGGACATATCCCTGTCATATAGGCTGTGTTTACAATTGGAAATTTAGAGATGTATCCCATAAAAATGTAATGCGATATAGAGAATGAATGAAATGGGGACATGGCCTCTTCAAGGTACTGCTGGGGAGAAGGATTTTATTGTAGCTGTGAGGCAAAGAACAACCACCAGATGCATCTGGAACAGTCCAGACTGAAAGGGGTCCAAGCCATGAGAGGAGAGAGAAGGGGAGAGAGTGAGAGGGGAAGAGAAGAGAGCCAGGGCCAGGAGGGCAGAGGCCAACAGCAAGCCAAGAAAGGAGCCAAGAGAATGTGTGGCCCAGAGAATGTGTGGCAGGTTTAGATGGGAGAGAGAAGCTGGGGGAAGGGAAACAGAGCCTACTGGAGAGCTTCGGAGTAGGGGGTGGGGTGAGAAGTGCGGAGAGGAGCCAGAGGTACTGAGTGAGCCTAGCGCCTCATCCCCGCCCCCTGCCCCCAGCAGAGACTTTGATATGCTAACAGGGACCACAGTCAGCCATTTGTCCTGCATTTCCTTGGTACCCGACAGACATGTCACTCACACTAAAATGATAAGGTCTATCAAAACTAGTAATTCTTGGTGCATACCACAGCCATGGTTACAAATAGAGCAAGTATTTAAGATGAATGATGAATACCTGTTTTCAATTCTTTTGCAAGACTTTGGGTCAGTTAATGCAATCGAATTTGGAGATACACTTATCTTCAGTGGCCACTAGAATTGTTTCTAGGATACCCATGGACAACTCCATGCATGCAGCAATCAGATGATGTTACATTTGCCTATGACCTGTACATATTGACCAATATTACTTTATTTCTGGATTTCCTGTATACCTAGTGTCTCAGTTACTTTTCTATTGCTGTGATAAAATGCCTTGATCAAGGCTGCTTATAGAATGAAGGGTTTATTTGGAGTACATGGTTCCAGACAGAGGAGGCCGTCACTGCCTCAGTGAAGAAACTTGGCAACATGCAGGCACGGTGGCTTGAGCAACAAGCTGAGAGCCACACCTCGGCCCACAAGTAGCAAGCACAGAAAGTACCCCAAAGCCATCTCCCGTGACATACTTTCTGCAGCAAGGCCACATCTCCTAAACCTACCCCAACAGCTCTGTCAACTGGGGCCAGGTATCCAAACATCTGATGCTGTGGGGGACTTCCATTCAAACCACCACACCTATTACAACTTAAGTGCTGTGCATGCTACACTGTTTAGGAAAAAAAAAAAAACAATGAATAAAGTCTATATATTTTTCTTTGGAATATATCCATTTTGCAGTTAATTGAATCTACCTGTACAGGATCTATCCATGAAGAGAGCCCACGGCACTACAAAATGTCCAAATGTGGGTCTCTTTGTAGATGGAGAAGCCTGGGTCTGTTGTAGAACAAGACCATATACCGTCAGGGAAAAGGACCTATGGGATGAAGTCAGCATGGGAAGACAGGCATAGTGAGTAGATTCATCAGGCCTCTAGAGTAGGCAGGATAAAGGATGGGGGCTGAGGTACCATCAACTGGAAATGGCTTAGAGTTCAGTTGGACTGGGAGAAGCCAGATAGTATCATGAAGGTACCTACATTGAGTAGGTTTTATGGGATTGTGATGATTGGAAAAAAAGAAAAAAAAAATCACAGGATGAGTAGAGGTGCAGGCCCTTTCCTAGCTAGCATGTGACAATTGTCGAGATGGGCTCTTTTCTCCTCTGTGACTTAAAACACATTCATAGAAGTGGCAATAAATGCCCAAAGGGTCAGGAATTTTCGTCTAGAGTAATGAAGCCCCCTGTTGTGAGGTCCTGGTTGGAGTTATCACAGCAGGGCAGTGAGCGCTGTTCTCTAGTATTTACTGAGCTTGCTGTTTCGACCTGTGCCCAAGAAGCCAGGTCCAGCCACGCCTCCTCAGGTAGCCAATTAAATGAGACTAATAGTGAAAAAGCAGACTAAGGGAATCTTTTCAGCGTGGCCATGCTGCGAAGAGGGATAAAGAGATTGGGCGCACCCTTCCTCCAGTCCATCTTTTTTGTTCTGATTTGAGGGTAAGGCTTACGTGGAGGGCAAGAGATACGTCTGATTAACTATGCAACCTGCAAGAGTGTGGTCCCATGATCGTCTCACCCCACCTTCTCCTGGAAAGCCATCTGGCAAGCTGTAAGTCTTTGTCCTGGAGACAAGTTTCTCCCATGGCTGACACCCATCCCCCGTCCCTCAGCTTCAGACTTTTCTTCTTCACCAGAAGATTCTTCCTCTTTTTTAAAATTTATTTATTTTACATCCCTACCGCAGCCTCCCCTTCCCCCTCTCCTCCCACTCCCTCCCTGCTTCCCTACCTCAATCCACCCCTCCTCTGTATTTACTCAGAAAGGAGCAGACCTCCCATGGGCATCAGCAAAGCATGGCTTATCAAGCTGCCCTAAGCCCAGGCACCTCCCCTGTATTCAGACTGGGCAAGACAACCACCCAGCATGAGGAATGGGTTCCCAAGAGCCAGCCAGAGCACCAGGGACAGCCTCTGCTCCCATTGCCAGGAGTCCCACAGATAGACCAAGCTACACAACTGTCACACATATGCAGAGGGCCTAAGCTGGTCCCATGCAGGCTCCCTGGTTGTTGGTTCAGACTCTGTGAGTTCCTATGAGTCAGGCTGGCCCTTTCTGTCTGTTTTCCTGTGATGTCTCTGACCCCCCCTCCCCCCCAGTTCCTACAATTCCTCCTCCCTTTCCAGTCATCTCTCTCAGCATGCTCCACCTCAACCCACCCCACAACCTGATCTCTCAAGTTCCCATTACCACCCCCCAGTCTCCCCAGAAGATCTCCTCTATTTCCCCTTCTCAGGGAGATCCATATGTGTCCCCCTGGACCCTCCTTGTTACCTGGCCTCTCTGGGTCTGTGGATTGTAGCATGGTTATCCTTTACAGTTAATACCCACTCATAAGTGTGTACATACCATGTTTGTCTTTCTGGGTCTGGGTTACCTCACTCAGGATGATTTTTTTTTCTCATTCCATCCATTTGCCTTGCAGAAGATTCTTGTGGAAGATCTAATCTATTGAGGGTTGTTGTTTTACTAGTCTGATAGTTAAAGGGAGGGGCACAAGTGTTCCTTTAGAATGCATTCTTTCGTCCCGGGAAGGCCAGTTACTACATCCCGGATCCTAGGTGCTGTGGGATGCCCAGTGTTCAGATGATGATGGTGCAGTGTTGCATATCCACCTCACCATCTACCAGCAGAACTTCCATTTGGTCTTCCCGGTTCTCCATTCAGATGTCACCTACAAGAATATTTTCTTGGGGGCTGGAGAGATGGCTCAGGGGTTAAGAGCACTGACTGCTCCTCCAGAGGTTCTGAGTTCAATTCCCGGCAACCACATGCCACATGGTGGCTCAAAACCATCTCTAGTGGGATCTGATGCCACTCTTCTGGTATAAACGCAGACAGAGCACTCATACATTAAATAAGTAAATGCAATAGAAAAAAATATTTTCTCTGCTTACGGAGAGACAATAA